CCCTTCCCCCCTAAACCCTAAACCCCTAAGCCCTAAACCCCAAAGCCCTAAACCCCTAAACCCCTAAACCCTAAACCCCTAAACCCCTAAGCCCTAAACCCCGAAGCCCTACACCCTAAACCCTAGGCCCTGAACCCCTGAGCCCTACACCCTTCAATCCCGGAAAGCAGTCGACGGCCTCGCGGGCCGAGTCTCTCATCCAGGGCAGGTCCGAGGACTGACGCGCCTGCATCGGTTTAGGGTTTAGGGAAAAGGGCTTAGGGTTCAGGGAAAAGGGTTTGGGGTTTGGGGTTTGGGGTTTAGGGTTTAGGGTTTATGGGGTTTCGGGTTTAGGGCTTCAGGGTTTTAGGGTTTTAGGGTTTGGGGTTTCGGGTTTCTGGGGTTTGGAGTTTATGGGGAAGCGCCTGCATGGGGCCCAGAATCCCAAAAGCCAGATCCTGAACTCGATCCATATGGGCTTAGCAGGCTCAGGATTGGGCTGCTTCGTCCTCCTTCGCACGAGCCTTCAAGTCAGTGCGCTTCTTCATCCTGTTCTCTTTGGCGTTGTCTCGCCAACGCTTCAGGTCCTCGATCTCCGATCGGAAATATTTTGCTGCCATGCTGCGCAACACAGCACTTGCAACAGGCCTGGGCTTGCTTGGCTGCTTTTTTTTCCAGCTCTTTTAGGCGCTGGAGACGGGCCTTGGCTTGTGCCTTGGCAGCACGAGCCTGGGCTTTCGCCGTTTGCGCCGGCCGGCCCTCTCCTTTTTTAGCGAGCGCCGCTGCAGCTGCCGCCTTGCGCCACTGTGGCGTATTGCTGCGTTCGGACGTAGAGCCGACGCAAGACGAGCCTCGGCTTCCTGGTTCGCATGCTGCGAGTAGTGTTGGTACACGAACCCAGAAGGTGCCGCAGCAAGGCTTCGCGGCTGCAGTACAAGTGCTCGGCCTGTATGGACAGGCGTTCTCCCGAGCTCTGTTTCACATATACAATAAGCGCCGTACGACGAATTCCAGCGCACTTGTCACGGAGATGCCGCTGATGAAGTCGTCGTCGAAGAGACTCTGCATCAGCTGAGCCGTCCACCAACCTCTGCAGCAAGTCACGGG